CGAGGGTCTCTGCCCCCCCCGCCCCCCCGGGGAGGGTGGGGCAAGCCTGGCCAAACTCGGCGCGCTCCGCTAAAACGGCGACCCCCCGATCCCCGGCACGGCGGAGATCGACCACAATCTCCGCCAGCGCCCCGCGCCCGCCAGAGGCGGCCCACGTCGCGTTTGTACCCTATCACGTGGACGCCAGGCGGTGTGATCCCTCTCTGGGGAAAGCTTTTCATTCCGAGTGGGCTCGGTCCCGGGGCCCGGTGAGGGCCCCTGGAAGCTGGAAATCCCACCAGCCCTCTGGGCGTGAATGGTCCAGGGGGCTCGTTCTGCAAACCCCCTTCTTCCCCTTCGGGGAGGGGGTTCCCCCTCCCTCTACCCCCTGCCCCTGGGTCTGCAGGGAAAGTTTCAAGCAGCGCTGGAGCGTCCAAGCTCGCCCAGAATGGCTTCAAGAGGGCCCCAGAGAGCCCAAGATGACCTCCAAGTTGATCAAGATAGCCCAAGATGGTTCAAGATAGCTTCCAAGTGGCCACGGAACCTCCCAAGGAGGCTCCAAGGAGGCCAAAATCCGTCCAACATACTTGATATACGGGCGCAATCCGTAGTTTGATTTTCGGTAAGTCGACTGACTGACAGACTGACTGACTGACTGACTGACTGACTGACAGACTGACGGACTGACTGACAACTGAATCACCAGAGCCGTTACATAGCAGCTTCATTGCCGGGGGAAAGGATATTCCGGTGGCAGTTTGAACCCAGGGGTTGAGGATATTTCGCCGGCAGTTTTGAGTCCACGGGGTGAGGATATTTAGCTGGCAGTTTTAGGCCAGGGGCGGTGAGGAGATTTCGCAGGCAGCTTTAGGCCAGGGGGTGAGGATATTTCGCTGGCAGTTTTAAGCTAGGGGTGAAGACCTTTAGCTGGCAGTTTGAGGCCAGGGGCGGTGGGGATATTTCCCTGGCAGCTTTAGGCCAGGGGGCGAGGATACCTCTACGACCACCCTTCGGGTGATAAGGAGGCTGTGGGGGGCGGAGAGGGGGGGAACCAACATCTGACTCAATCGATCTCACGATCGGTATCAGTCAACGGAACACAACGGGACACCACGGGACACCACGGGACACCTTGCCGATCGAACTATCGATCTCACTATCGATCTCACTCAACGGGACACCACGGGCCACCACGGGACACCACGGGACACCACGGGACACCTCTCGATCTCACTATCGGTCTCACTATCGAACTCACGATCGACCGCACTCAACGACACACCACGGGACACCACGGGACACCACGGGACACTTCGAGACACCTCGGGACACCACATCGATCTCACGATTGATCTCACTGCACCATCGATCTCACGATCGACCGCACTATCGCTCTCACTCCACGGGACACCACGGGACACCATGGGACACCACGGGACACCACGGGACACCGCGGGCCACCGCCGGACGGAAGGCGGACGGACGGAAGGCGGAGAAACAACATTTGTCACGACTTCGCCTTAGCAACGGCGGGTTGATTCCTCTCTCGCGCCCACGCAGCTTCGCCTCGCCCGCACGCACCACGGGACACCACGGGACACCACGGGACACCGCGGGCCTCCGCCGGACGGAAGGCGGAGGGACGGAAGGCGGAGGAGCAACATCTGTCTTGACTTCGCCCTAGCAACACGCACCACGGGACACCACGGGACACCACGGGACACCACGGGACACCACGGGACAACGCCGGACGGAATGCGGACGGACGGAAGGCGGAGGAGCAACATTTGTCTTGATTTCGCCCTAGCCACGGCGGGTTCATTCCTCTCGCGCGCCCACGCAGCTTCGCCTCACCCGCACGCGCGACACGAACGACCTTCGATTTCGCTTGCAGTTTTGGGCGGGGTTTGAGGATAAGTTGGTAACCGTTTTAAGCCAGGGTTTGAGGAGATGTCGCTGGCAGTGTTCAGCCAAGGCGGCGAGGCCATGCCGCTGGCAGCTTTAAGCCACGGGCGATAAGCATAGATCGCTGGCAGCTGTGACGCCGGGCGTTGAGGATATTCCGCTGGCAGCTTTAGGCCAGGGGGCGAGGATATTTCGCTGATCTAGCACTTTAAATTGAAGGGTGTGAGGATATTCTGCTGGCAGATTTAAAGTCCGGGGGTAGGGACATGTCGCTGGCAGTTTATGCGACGGGCCCAGGATATTCCGTTGGCAGTTTTAACGAGGGTGTGAAGATATTTCGCTGGCAGTTGCAAGTCAGTGGGTGGCGGATATTTCGCGCGCAGTTTCAAGCGAGAGGTGTGAGGATATTTCGATGGCAGTCTTAAGCGAGGGGCTTTGAGGATAGTTGGCCAGGCGGGTGGGAATATGTCGCTGGGGGATGTGAGGATATTTCGCTGGCCAGTTTAAGACATGGGGGTGAGGATATGTTGCTAGCAGTTGTAACGGAGGGCAGCTGGCAGTTTGAGGCCGGGGGCTTGAGGACATTTCGGGGGGATAGGTGAGAGGGAGAATGGAGGACGAGGATGAAGAGGAGGTGGCGAAACGAGGGGTCGGAGGTAGGGCCTGAGAGGAGTCGTGGTCGGTGCGGGCATCCACGCGCCACGCGGTGCAGTGCTGGGCCTTGCCCTGCCTGGCCCAGCCGAAGGCTACGCATGCAGCGCGGTGCTGCGCACGTATATATGCTGGCCCCCTGACGCGGGGCCGGCGGGGGGCCAAGGGGCGAGCCTTCCCGTGTTTTGTTTCAATGCGGTTTGCCTTCTCACCTTTTCGCTTCCGATGGGCTCTTGAGGCGTCAAGATGGCTCCAACATGGCTCTAGACAGCCCAAAGGAGTGCCAAGGGGGGCCCTAGACGGCCCCAAGAGCACCCGAGAATGCCCCAAGAGGGCCCAGGTAGGGTATTTTGAAGGCTCTGGCAGGGGGGGGGCTAAATGACGCCGTCTCCCTGTTTCATCTATGGCCCACAAGATGGCCCCAAGAGGCCCCTGAAGGCCGCCAAGAGGACCCCAAGAGAACCCTGAGAGCGCCCCCCGAGAGCCCCAAGAGGGCCCAAGAGGCCTCCAAGATGGCCCCACGAGAGCCCCACGATGTCTCCAAGAGGCCTCCACAACGCTCACAGAGCGAAAGATCGCACAAGTCGTGACATTGACGTGCGGCTCACTGCTGGGTCACATGCTGCTGTGGATCCCCGATCAGGGCAACTCGGCGGGCGTCCGTTGCTGGATGCGCGGGTGTGGATTCTTTTGTTTTTTTTGTTTACAGCCGCAGGCGGAAGCGCCGGCGGCGGCGGGTCACGGTCGGGCTGCGGCCGTGACGAATTACCCGGGCGCGCGCGGGCGGGTGGGGATTCGCGAAGCGTTCAGAAGTTGCAGAACGCACTCAGCCGCGACCCTTTCACGACGCGAAAGGGTATGGTCCCCCCTCTTCCTGGGACGCCCAGAGACATACTAATACTATATGTCCTCCTTGGAGGCGCGCGTCCGACCCGAACATGTAGTATACCCATTTGTAGTGTATCGTTTCCCGAGCGGCGTGGCCAGAAAGCGCCCGCCACGACGCATATACTATGAGATTTCTCGGTGCGCGCGTCGTCCCTGGGGGGCTGGGGAGGCTTGGACCGGAGTCCGGCCGTGGCGAAGCGGGGACCCCTCGGAGGCCTGGAGAGGGCGAACCGCACCCAAAACCTCGAGGCTCGAACGCGGGGGCCTGTGCTTGCGTGGGAGCCGACTGATGGGCCTGTTTTCCACCGCCACCACCCTACGTTGGAGGGGGGAAGGAGGAGGAGGACGAGGAGGAGGAGGAGGACGAAGAGGAGGAGGACGAGGAGGAGGAGGAGGACCCCCTCCCCCTCCAACTTGTGGTGATGGTGGTGGAAAACAGGCCCATGACCGTCCGACCCCTGACCCACAAGAAAAGGAAACATGACTGCCAACGTTGGACAAACATGAAGGGGCCCCAGGACACACAAATAAATACACACAAATAAACAGATTCCCCATATTTTTCTATATTTTCTGGGTTTCTGTCTTCCCCCCCACTTCTCAGATTCTTCCATCATTTCTGGGGAATCGAGGATTAATTGTGTCTGTGTGTTTTTCCTCTCCTGAAAACGGTGACACCTCTCCGTCGCTGGACCGTGGACCGTGAGCCACGTCCACACACACACCGCGGAGCGGGGGGGGAAGCAAGCCGGGAAAGGGCACGCCACTCCTGGTCATGACTACCTACCAGACCACCCCAACCCAACCCGAAGACCCGAATTTCGGGTTGGGGGGGTAAGGGTTCCACATATGTTTTTTTCTATGTTTCCCGACCCCCCCCCCCCACTGGAAATCGAGGGTAAATCTGAGCCTTCGGGTTGGGTTGGGGTGGTTTGGTGGGTGGTGAGGTCAGGAACCCTGCCCCGATCAGTGGCCGCCGCGATCGCCGCGGAGCACTCCAAGACCGGCACGGAGGTCGGGGTGTCGGCTACCATCGGGAACCCCCGGATAGGGTGTCGCCGCGGCGGCCCTGGCGACGCGCTACCCCTCGAGAGCGGATAGCGTGTCGCTCCGCTCCGCAGGGGGCGGGAGGTCTGGAACAGCCTGAGACGCTGACGCCTGCGGACCGCGACGTGGACAGTGTCGCGCCGAAGCATGGTGGGCCAGAACCAGTGGAGCAAGACGCTATCCACGTCTCAGCCCTCGATTACCAGCCTCGAACGTATACGTATCCCTACGATTGACACGCCAAAAGGCGATGACAATCTTAGGGATTCGCCCTCAAAAAATAAGGGAATCCCTAAGATTGGCATCGTGATGGGGAGGTGCCCAGCATAGGGATAGGAATATGTTCCAGGCTGGTAACTCGAGCGAGCGTCCACGTCTGGAGTTTTCCCCAGCCTCCCGCCCCAGAGGAGCGGAGCGACACGCCATCCGCTTGCAGGGCACGGCGCGTCGCCGGGGCCGCCGCCTCGGAGCGCAATGCAAAAGTTCCCGACCAGAGCACGCAACGATTCTGGGCTTCCGCCAGCGCCCACCTCCCCCGACGCCCCGTCGCCCGCGTCCTCCACGGGAATTTCCAGCTGCTTCCACATGTGGGTGACGCCGTCTTTCGGCGGGCTCACGTCCTTAAGGGGCCCAGGGACACACATGTATATAGATATCTACCTATATATATAGAGAGATATGCACGTATGTATGTATATATGATTGCATGCATGTACGTATGTATGTATGTATGCATGTATGTATGGAGGGATGGATGGCTGTTTGTCTGTATACATGTATGCCTACCTGCTCGTCTGTCTGTTTGTGTGTTTGCCTGCATGGATGTATGTATGTATATATGTACACATGCATGTATGGATGCATGAACGCCTTGATGTATGTATGGCTGTGTTATATATGTGTAAATGTGTGTATCGGCATGTGGGCATACCGATGTACATGTACACGTTTATTGTTATATGAAATTGTAAGGGCATATGTAGATGCGTATGCGTATGCGTCTGCATCGGTAGATGCAACATTAGATTGATGTGCATGTGTGTACATGTACGGCTATGAATGTGCACCCGAACATGGATATATATATATACATACATACATACATAAAAGGTGTACATATGTGTATGGGAATGGGTTGTTATATCCATGTGTGTAAATGTGACTTGTACGTGTATGTGTACATGTATGTCCATATGTATGCGTAGAGGCTACTGTGCATGTATATGTGTATGCATATAGACATGTGTGTCGAACGACATGTATATATTTATGTGTATATATATATGCATGTACCACAATTTCCAAGAATTGACTCCATAGTTGTCAATGTTTCCTGGATGTTCAGATTCCAACTCATGTCCCAAATCCCCCCATATCTTCGCACAAAAATAATGGCTGTTTCTGGCTGTGTTTTCCCTCCTGAGTCCTGGAACCCGGCCGAAACGTAGAGGCGCCTCGACGGCTCGTACCCGTCGATGTGCAGGTCCGCCACCGCGCTGGCGGAGTGTGAGACGAAGCCGGGACAGGGACAACATCGGACAGGAGTAGATCGGGGGTCTCTGAGCTCCGCTGGTCCCGGGGGGCGTATCGGGCGCCGCGGCCTTCTCAAAGCGCTCCCGGGCGCTCTTGAGCATCGCTTAAGCGATCCCCATCCCCACCAGCGTGGGCTGGGCCCCACTGGCCGATTTGCCCCCCTAGATGGGGATATAGGCCGTTCCCTTCGGATTCGAGGGGTGTATCCCCAACTGGGGGGTGATTTGGTGGGGGTCTCGAAGGGGATGGGTATGGGGATGGAGGTCTGTTCAACGATACTGAGCTCCGAGGGCATTCTGCAACGCTCTGGGACGATCCGTGCCCCTGTCCTAGCCAGCCCGGCCCCCCGTGGCTCCCCCCTGCTTTCCCCCAGCCCGGACGGCCGTGGCTTCGGCGTGACCGCGATCGGCGCACGCAGAAAAATTATCCTGGCGAAGGACCCAACCATATGCAGTTGTGAATGCCGCAATTGTGAATACCATCTTCGCCCGCGCCCCCTATGTGGCCACGGCTTCCCGCCGGAGCCCGACATGCTCAGGGACACGTTCGCGGCCGTCTTCGCGGGCGCCGACGACGACAAGGACGGCGTCCCTCTCACCGAGGAGCAGAAGCAGGAAAGGGCCTTGAGAGCCATGAGGGAGGAGGTGGCGTTGCACGTAGACAAGGCGGAGTACGACGCCCAGGCGCGGTTGTTGAAGCAGTACAACTATGGGGCCACGATCCTCGTGAGGGATGTGCCGCAATGGCCCGGGGCCGCCATGCGAACCCTGCCAGTGGCGCCTTCGGTGGAGCTCCCTTATGGGGCCACGATCCTCGTGAGGGGTGTGCCGAAATGGCCCGAGGCCGCCATGCGAACCCTGCCACTGGGGCCTTCGGTGGAGCTCCCTATGGGGCCACGATCCTCGTGAGGGGTGTGCCGAAATGGCCCGAGGCCGCCATGCGAACCCTGCCACTGGCGCCTTCGGTGGAGCTCCCTATGGGGCCACGATCCTCGTGAGGGGTGTGCCGAAATGGCCCGAGGCCGCCATGCGAACCCTGCCACTGGGCCTTCGGTGGAGCTCCCTATGGGGCCACGATCCTCGTGAGGGGTGTGCCGAAATGGCCCGAGGCCGCCATGCGAACCCTGCCACTGGGCCTTCGGTGGAGCTCCCTATGGGGCCACGATCCTCGTGAGGGGTGTGCCGAAATGGCCCGAGGCCGCCATGCGAACCCTGCCACTGGGCCTTCGGTGGAGCTCCCTATGGGGCCACGATCCTCGTGAGGGGTGTGCCGAAATGGCCCGAGGCCGCCATGCGAACCCTGCCACTGGGCCTTCGGTGGAGCTCCCTATGGGGCCACGATCCTCGTGAGGGGTGAAATGGCCCGAGGCCGCCATGCGAAACTGCGCCTTCGCTCCCCACAATCCTCGTGAGGGGTGTTCCTGCGAACCCTGCCACTGGGCCTTCGGTGGAGCTCCCTATGGGGCCACGATCCTCGTGAGGGGTGTGCCGAAATGGCCCGAGGCCGCCATGCGAACCCTGCCACTGGGCCTTCGGTGGAGCTCCCTATGGGGCCACGATCCTCGTGAGGGGTGTGCCGAAATGGCCCGAGGCCGCCATGCGAACCCTGCCACTGGCGCCTTCGGTGGAGCTCCCTATGGGGCCACGATCCTCGTGAGGGGTGTGCCGAAATGGCCCGAGGCCGCCATGCGAACCCTGCCACTGGGGCCTTCGGTGGAGCTCCCTATGGGGCTACGAAACGCTGTGCTGGGTGGGTGGAACGCAAGGAGGAGGGGGAGGAGGAGCGGGAGCGGGAACGCGGGGCACCGTCTCTTCAAAACGAGGACCCAACACCACAGGATGGTTGGGAACAACATATGGCTACAACAACGACGACGACGACGACAACGATCACGACCACGCCCACGACCACGACCACGACCACCACAATAACAGCAACAACAGTAAGAACCACAACCACAACCACAACAACAGAAATCATTCCAAGACTGTTCGCTCCTACCGCCCAGCGTGTCATTCGCTATGCATACCCCAAACCCTGGATACCCGCCCTCTTCGTCTTCGATCGTATCCCCTACTTGGGGATTATATTCCTTCCTGGCCACGTGTAATTGGAGAAGCCCCTAAACAGGGAAACGAAAGGGAAAAGACAAACAGAGAGGACGAAGGGATCGGAGGAAGGGAGGGAGTAGAGGGGCGAGGAGGAGGGACGACGATGATTTGTGCCGCGAGTTGCGATTCAGCTTGCGCCATGGCTTGCGCCAGCCATTCCATCACAGGTTAACAAAGGCTTCGCCATGGGTTGCGCCATAAACAACGCCATGTAACACCTCTGGTGCTGTTCGGCGCGGCGTTGGAGGCGAATGTGGCGCCCGATTTCCAAATAAAATGCGAACAAGTCTCCAACGAGAACGCAATTCCTGAAAAGGGGATGTGTGGCGGGAGCGGGGGTCTAGACTAAAGCGCAAGGACATTCTAAGCGGGAGCGCCGTTCTTGAGTAAATTGTAAGGAAGCCTCAGACGGGAGGGGGGGTCCTTACTAAATTGCGAGGAGGTCACAGGCGGGAGCGCCGATCCTGAGTAAATTGGGAGGAAGTCTCAGGCGGGAGCGGGGGTCCTGAGTAAAGTTAAAGGAAGTCTCGAAGGGGAAACGTTGTTGTTGTAGCCCGGGGGAACTACAATGCAGTTTGACTCGGATTCAATCGTGAGGAACTCTCAAGCGGGAGCGCCGTTCCTGAGTAAATTAGGAGAAAGTCTCAGATTGGAGGGGAGGATCCTGAGTGAATTTGCGGAACCTCATGCGGATGCCTTTGTGGTAGTCCGGGGGGCCAAGGGCACAATTTGACCAGGAAGACTTCCCCTGTCAAAGAGCAGGGTGCGAGCGTCGAGGGGCACACTTTGACTGAGAAAAAACGATATGCACCGGTGAGGGGGATCAGCAATAATTATTATTCAGAAGTGAGAATTCAACAACGACAACGACAACGACGACGACGATGACGACCGCGACAACGGCAACGACAACAACAACGACGACAACGACGACAACGAGAACGACCACGACCACGACCACGACCACGACTACAAGAACAGCGACGACGACAACGACAATGACAACGACCACGACAACGTCAACAACAACAGCGACAACAACAACGACAACAACAATACCAACAACAACAACGACAAGGACAACGATCACAACAATAACACCAACGACAACAACAACAACAACAACAACAACAACAATCATGTTAAGACGGTTCGCTCTTATCTGCTCGCGCGTCACTGAATATGCATATCCTAAACCCTGCGCGCCCGCCCTCTTCGTCTTCAATCGTACCCCTCTTGGGGGGTATATTCATTCCCTACCACGCGTGGTAGGTGGAGCCCTTGAAAACGAAGGGCGACAGATAACGGGGGAGGAAGAGGGCGAAGGGATCGGAGGAAGGGAAGGGAGGGCAAAAAGGATGGATGACGATGATTCGCGCTGCGAGTGGCGACTCAGTTTGCGCCACGGCTCGCGCCAGGCACTCCAACAAAAGCGAAACATAAGTTTCGCCATGGGTCGCGCCATAAACAGCACCACCACCCCCTTGAAAGAGAAAATCGTGGATACTCCCACGGGGGGGCGCACAGCTGCGAACTGGTGTCAGAAACAAATTCCGTGGAACCCTGAAAAGAAGCGGGATGTCGGGAGAATGGGGCGGAAGGATCGTGAGAAGTGCAACCGCGTCGAGAGGAACGCAGGGATGTGGTGGATTGGTATTGGGTGGACAAGAGTAGGGTCTCAGGGGGGGGGAGCGGCAATGAGTGGAGAAGAGGAACCGGGAGGAGTGCGGAGGAGCGGGGGGCGCACGGAGGAATCTGGAGGAGGGGCTGGGAATAATTTGGAAGAAATGCGGCATGCGAGCGGGAAGGGGTGGAGATTGTTGGTGTGGGATGGGGTGGCCTGGGGAGGAGCAGGCGGAATGAGAAGAACTGAAGAATAGCACAATGGAGTACGATAGACATGAAAATGATGATAAAAAATAGAAACTATTTGGAAAGAACATTGAAATGTGGGGGCAGGTGGATGCGAGCGGAGACTGGCGCGGAAGCAAGGCGCGGGGGGATTGGAAGGCCCGAAAACATCATATGACTTCTGGGGGGCCTCGGAATGGCCCCGATGACCACCGAGCAGTTCCAGAGGCTCCGAAAACCTCTGGGAACGCAGGCGGGAGCCGTTGTTGGCGCGGGCCACGACGGGCGCGAACGAGCGGGGGCCCCGAAGGGCATACGTATGGGGGGCCGCAGAGGGCAGCGACGGAACCGCTGAGGGCAGAAACGGCCACGAAAGGCAGAGAGAGGGCCACGAAGAGCGACAGCGGGGCCACGAAGGGCATGCATATGGGGTCACGACGGGCGCGAACGAGCGGGGGCCACGAAGGGCATACATATACGGGGCCAGAGAAAGGCGACAGCGGGGCCACTGAGCGCAGAAAATGGGCCACGAAGGGCAGCGAGGGGGCCACGGATGGCGACAGCGGGGCGACGAAACGCATGCGTATGGGACCACGAAGGGCGCGAGCGAGCGGGGGCCACAAAGGGCAATTAATCCGGGGCCACAGAGGGCAGCGACGGGGCCGCGGAGGGCAGAAACAGGGCCACGAAGGGCAGAGAGGGGGCCACGAAGGGCGACAGCGGGGCCACGAAGGGCATGCATATGGGCCTGGGGCCACGACGGGCGCGAACGAGCGGGGGCCACGAAGGGCATTCGTACACGGGCCACAAAGGGCGACAGCGGGGCCACTGAGGGCAGCGAAGGGGCCACGAAGGGCATGCGTATGGGGCCACGAAGGGCGACAGCTGGGCTACGAAGGGCATATAAGGCGTACCCACAGAGGGCAGCGACGGGGCCACTGAGGGCAGCAACGGGGCCACGAAGGGCAGCGAGCGAAGGCGACCGCGGAACCAGTACGGGCAGCGAGGGGCATCGAAGGCGGGCGAAGGGCAGCGAGCGGCGACTGCAGTCCCTAACGGGCTGGTCGGGCGGGCAGGCCCAGACGGGCGGGTCGTTGAAGCGTCAATTCTGCTTGAACCGCTAAGCAATACGTAGCGGGAGCGCGATTCCTGAGTGTCGAGGAGCGGCATCTGGACAAATTGTGGGGAAGTATCAAGCCGGAGCCGCGATTCGGTGGTAAGTTGCGAGGAAGTCCCCAGCGAGAGCGCGAGTCTTCAATACACCGTGAGGAAGTATCAAGCGGGAGCCGCGATCTGGTGGTACATTGCACGGAAGTCCCAAGCGAGAGCGCGATTCTTCAATAAATTGTGAGGGAGGTAGTATCAGGCGGGAGCCGCTGTTGTTGTAAACCGGGGGCCATCGGCACAGTATGACCCTCAAGGCATTCCCGGATAAAAAACCAGGTGCGAACCCCGGGAAGGGCACTTCAATCGAAAAAACCACGTGCACCGGACGGAGGGGATCAACAAGAATTATTCTTCAGATATGAGAGTCCAACAACGACAACAACAATCATTCTAAGACTGTTCGCTTTTACTTGCCCGTGTGTCATTCAAAACGAGCCCCCCCACACCCTCGATACCCGCCCTGTTTGTTTTCGATGCCACCCGCTTTGGGGGGAGTATTTCTCTTTGCGGGGGGCGGCGGGCTTAGACAGGCGAGCAAACTTGAACGGGCGGACAATACTTCGTGGGCGTACGTGTGCCCGCCATTGGAATTGGTGTGGGCCCTGCAAAAAAAGGAGGGGGAGAACGAGGGAGAGTGGGAGGAAGGGAGGGGGAGGGACGAAGGATGAGGGAAAACGCCAGGAAAGAAGGAGCGAAGAGGGGGGCGGTAGAGGAAGAGAGAGGGAGAGAGGGGAGAGAGAGAGAGAGAGAGAGAGAAAGAAAGAAAGAAAGAAAGAGGGAGGGAGGAGGCAGGAGAGGGTAGGGAGAAGGGAGGAGGGAGAGGGGATAGGGCAGGAGGCATAAGGATGAGGGAAATGAGGAGGGAGAGAGAAGGGAAGAGAGGAGGGAGGAGGGAGGAGGGAGAGGGAGGAGGAGCAGGAAGGTAAAAGCGTGAACGTTCGAGGAAGTCCTAAGCGAAAACGCCGTTCCTGAAGGAAGTCTCGGGCGGGAGCCCACGACGGGCGGGCGATCCCCTGACGGGCGGGTCGGGCGATCCCCTGACGACGACGACGAGTTCAACGACAACGACAACGACAACGACACGTTCCTGTAGGATCCCATACAGGGCCTACACTGCCTGTGTGGGATCCTACACAGAGCCTACACGCCCTGTCTGGAATCCGATACAGAGCCTACACGGCCTGTACGGGATCCTAAAAACAGCCGACACGCCCTGTACAAAGGTTACACGCCCTGTATGGGATCCTATACAGAGCATACACGGCCGGTTTGGGATCCTATACAGAGCCTACACGGAGAGGGGTGTGCCGAAAAGATGTTTCGGTGACGTTCCCCGTGGAACCAGGGCCATGATCCTTGAGAGGGGTGTGCCGAAATAAGGCTTCGGTGGAGTTCCCTGTGGGGCCAGGGCCACGATCCTCGAGAGGGGTGTGCCGAAATCAAGTTTCGGTGGTGCTCCCTGTGGGGCCAGGACCACGATCCTCGAGAGTGGTGTGCCGAAATCAAATTTCGGTGGAGCTCCCTGCGTGGCCAGGGCCACGATCCTCGAGAGGGGTGTGCCGAAATAAGGCGTCGGTGGAGTTCCCTGTGGGGCCAGGGCCACGATCCTTGAGAGGGGCGTGCCGAAATCAAGCTTCGGTGGTGCTCCCTGTGGGGCCAGGACCACGATCCTCGAGAGGTAGACTCCCGCGGGATTCCTCCGGATTCCCAGGGGACGCCTTATGACTACCTAAGGATCCCTAAAGATCCCCTAAGGATTCCTACGGGGAAGTGCTTAAGGATGTGCTCAGAGCCACGGCCACCATAAGGATCATATAAGAATCCTATAGGACTCCATCGGGAGCCATACAGTTGGGGGCTTGACCTAAGGAACCCAAAATAAGGAACGAGGCCCCTTTCTCCAAAAGTTAAACTTCGATTTCCGATCGAAAACATAAGGAACACCTGAGGCAAGCTGCGAAACACTTAAGGAACGCGGAGCCCCACCCCAACGAAAAAGGTTCCTTGTTCAGGGCCCCGGCTGTAGGATTCAATCGGGATTTCTGTATGACCCCGCACGGATCCTATAGGATTCCATTGGGATCCTACAGGGGTCCTACAGGATCCCATGCGGGTCCTGTAGGATTCCATAGAGAACCTGCAGGATTCCATAGGGACCATATCGGACTCCTGGAGGATTCCCTTGGGATCTTCTAGGATTCCATGGGGATCCTGTAGGACTCTTATTATAGGGTTCCATGGGAATCCTATAAGGATTCTGCGGGATCCGATACGGATTTCTACGGGTCCCAATGGAACCCGATAGAATGCATCCTACAGGATCCCAATGGATTCCTATAAGATCCCCATGGAATCCTATAGGAACCCTATGGCATGTCTATAGAATTCCTATGGAATCGTGTAGGTTCCCGATGGAGTCGTATAGAGTCCCCAAGTCTCCTATAGGACCCCTTTTATGGGATCCTATAGGACACCAGCACCAACACCCCAACAGCCCCGTGGGGCCACCGCAGGGGCCCCACGGGGCTGTTGGGGTGTTGGTGTTGGTGTGGGGGGGGGGTACGGACCGTCAGTGCACGTGTCCATCATCAACAACAACAACAGCAACAGCAACAGCAACAGCAACAGCAACAGCAACAACAACAACAACAACAACAACAATAAGTTTAATACTGTTCGCCCTTATATGCTCGAGTGTCCAATAACGCGTATTTCCCAAACCCTCGATACCCGCCCTCTTCGTCTTCGATCGAACCCCTTTTGGGGGGTATACCTTTCTTCCCTGCAGGCCGGGCCCCGGCAAGCGGCGGGGCGGCCGCGGACCGTCGGCCTGGCCAGCGGCAGCGCTGATCGGCGGGGCGGCCGCGGACCGTCGACCCGACCCCAAGAGGGACGGACAGGGGACCGACCACGACGACGACGACGACGACGACGACGACGACGACGTCGAAGACGACGCGACGACGACGACGACGACGGCGACGACGAGCGAAAGCGAGAGCGAGAGAGAACGACAGCAGGGCCACGAAGGGCACGAAGTAGGCCACGAAGGGCGACAGCGGGGACACGAAGGGAATGCGTGTGGGGCCACGAAGAGCGCGAACGAGCGGGGGCCACGAAGTGCAGATAATGCGGGGCCACAGAAGGCAACTATGGGACCACTGAGGGTAGCAACTGGGCCACGTAGGACAGTGAGGGGGACACAAATGGCAACAGCGGGGCCACGAAGGGCATGCACATGGGGCCACAACGGGCGCGATTCCTGGGTGCCTGTGTGTCGGGAGCGCGGCGCTTGGGCAAATTGCAAGAAATTCCCACGCAAGGCCATTCTTCAGTAAGTTGCAAGAAAGTCTGACTCCAGAGCGCCGGGAGAGCGATTCTTCAATAAATTGTAAGGAAGTCCCAAGCGAGAGCGCGATTCCTGAATAAAATGCGAGGAAGTCTCGTGCGGGAGCGGGGGTCCTGGCTAAATTGTAAGGAAGACTCAGGCGGGAGCCGTTGTTGTTGTAACCCGGGGGCCAGGGGCCCAGTTTGAGCAGGAAGACTTTCCCTGTCAAAAAACAGGGTGCGAGCGTCGAGGGGCACACTTTGATTTAGAAAAAACAGTATGCACCGGTGGGGGGATCAACAATAATTATTCTTCAGAAATGAAAATTCAACAACAAAACATAAGGTTGAACAAAACTTTCGAGGTTGGAAACCCTGGGTTTATTTCAACTGAGTGGCTTGTTGCAACTTGGGCCAAGCGCGTCCCGCTGCCCGTTGACAATCCGATGGTGCGTCGCCACGGGGTCGGAAAAATCGTCGGGAGCCTTGCTGTTTGTTCGCCAGCCCTGCCTGTCGCAAGGCCTCGAGCAGCCCCCTCCTCGCCAGACGCATCGAGACCCTAACGAGCATTCGCTTGCTACTCCTATAGTCCCTTCGCCTCCTGGCCGCCCATCCGAGACACGGTGCCAAACGAGCGCAGCCGCGGGCGGGGCCCTCCATGGAGCCTGCCTCCAGCCCCCCCCCCCTGCCTCCCGCCTACATACCCCCCGCAAGTCCGCCCCACCCCCCCGCCCCCGCCCGAGCGCGGCAGCGCGCGACAGCGCAACAGGATAGATCTTGTCCCTGCCCCAGACCCTCACGACGATTTCCTTGGTACGGCTTCGGGTAGCGCGGAGGCAGACCCCGCCCCAGGTAGTCCTGGCTGGTTTCAGCAGCCCCCCCCGAGAAGCCCTGGGCGGTCACACCACCTCAAGGGCGCGGAGCGCCCTAAGGATGGGTTGTTGAGACCGCCCTGGGACCCCTGGGGGGAATGTCGAAGCCAGACGAAACTACATGTGCCCAGGAGGCTTCAGGCCTGGAAGACTCCTTACCTGAGGGGGGGGGGCGATGGTACCAATGGCCAATCTACGAGTGGAATACCACTGGCCTCGAGATCCTGAGTTCCTCACCAAACAGTAGCCAACGGTTCTAGGTATATCCGATGCCCCCACCTTACCTGGGGGGAGCAGCCTGTGCGCAACCCGGAGCCTCACCAAATGTCCTCGGCGACCTGCACCATGGCCCTGCCCAGCCCCTGCCGCCGCGACCTCGGCGTCACGAACAAGTTCGTCAAGTAAGGCTCCGGTCTCACGGCTGACCAGGCCGAGGGCCGGAAGGGCGGCGCCCGAAGAGCACATGGTTGAGGCAGGGTCGAAGGAGCGAGGAGGGGAAGGGAAAGCACTCTGGCGAGAGCACCCGCGGCCAGCTCCGCAAAGCTGCTGAGAGCTCCGCACGGCCCGAGTGGCCCTGCAGGTTTGCTGCCGAGGCGTGGTCGGACGGGGGCCAGATCCCAAAGCCGAGGGGGCCTCGTATGTGACACGGGTGGGGACCCACTCGGGTGCCCCCAGGCCGGAGGTTGAGGAGGAGGGAGGCGAGAGAAGGGATGCATGAGGAAGGCAGGGAACGAGGGGAGGCGGGGGTAGAGGAGGACGGGCGGAGTGGAGGGAGGATGCAGGAGGGATGAGGCAGGAGGGAGAAGGGAAGAAGGGAGAAGGGAGGGGAGGAGGGTGGGGAGGGAGGGAGGGAGAGGGAGGGAGGGAGGGAGGGAGGGAGGGGAGGAGGAGGAGAAGGAGAGGAGGAGGAGGAGGAGGGAAAGAGGGAGGGGAGGGCTTGGAGGGGAGGAACGGCCGAGGGGAGACGGGGGGGGGCATAAAAAGAGGAGCGAGAAGGAGGGAGCGAGCAGGAGGGAAGGAAGGATGGGGAAGGACGGAAGGAGGACGTAAGCAAGGAGAGGAGGGAAGGAACAGGAGGCAGAAGGCAGCGCGGGAAGGGTCAGGATGGAGATGGGAGAACGGAGGAGGGCGGGGGGCAGGAATGAGGAGATAGCGAAGGAGTCAAGGGGAAGGGGAAAGGGCAGAGGAGCGAAGGGAAAGGAGGGGAGGGGGAGGCGGGGAAGGAGGAGAAGAAAGAGGAGGAGGAGGAGGAGGAGGAGGAGGAGGAGGAGGAGGAGGAGGAGGAGGGGGAGAAGCAGGAGGGGGAGGAGGAGGCGAGCCGCCACAGCCGGGGGGGAGCTGCGCCCCTGAGACACCCCTGCTCGACACCGGCGGCGCGCCGACGGCGGCGCGAGCGAGGTGCTCAGCCCTCTCCGAAAGCTTCCCGTGTGGCCGCGGCGGCCCTTGGCGACACGCCGCGCCCTGCAGGCGGACAGCGTGCCGCTCCGCTCCGCGGGGCGGGAGGCTCGGAACGGCCCGGGACACTGAGGAAGGGGCCCTCTGGGACACGCAAATGAATACACACATCAAAGGATTCGCCATAGCTTCCCATATTTTTTAGGGGTTTTGTCTTTTGTCTTCCCCCCCACTGCCCATATTTTCCAACATTTTCTGGGGAATCGACGATTAATTGTGTCTGTGTGTTTTTTTCCCTCCTGAACTGAGGCCCGGGGACTGGGAAGCGGGCCGCCTTCCGCGCCGAAGCCCTGTGGGCCAGAACCGCCGGCGGAGCGGCACGCTGTCCTATGAGCTTCCCTTGACGGCAGAAGGCAGGGCCCCCTCCCCACGATAGAGGCTTCCAGGAAGGCTCCGAGAGCTACGAGGCTGGCCTCGAATGGGGGAACAAAACGTGACATAAACATAAAAACTCGGAGGTCCGCGCGGATTTCTCGGATCGGCGCTGGGGTCCCCCGGCGGCGTCTCCGGCGCCGCCCATGGCGCGCTCCGCGCGCCGGGGAGGGGCGTCCAGCGCCAGCGGACCTCCGAGTTTTTATGTTTATGCCACTTTTTCTTCCCCTATCGAAGGAGCCCGAGGCCTCCTTGGATGGCTGCTCCACGCCTGCGCCGACCCGTGGCTCGGGATGGGCCCGGGCGGGGCCTGCGTCCTCCGACCCGCGTGGCGCGCGTCCGACAAGAGGACCCTCTCGGTTACCAGCCTCGAACTTAGCCCATCCCTACGATTGGCACGCCAAGAAGCGATGACAACCTTAGGGGTGCGCCCTCAAAAAACAAGGGAGTCCCTAAGATTGGCATCGCGACGAGGAGATGCCCAACATAGGGATAGGGATATGTTCCAGGCTGGTAACTCAGGGCAGGTTCGCGCGGAGACGGCGCCGGCTCAGGATAGCTCCCCGCGGCCCCTCCGGGGGCCCAGACGACCCTGAAGGGGCCCAAGGACAAACAAATAAATACACACAAATAAACAGATTCCCCATAATTTTCCATATTTTTAGGGTTGTCTTCCCCGCCACTTCCCATATTTCCCCAGATTTTCTGGGGGAGCGACGATTGATTGTGTCTGTGTGTTTTTTCCCCTTCTCGGCCGCCTGAGGCCCCGCCCGCCCGCGCCCTGTCATCCCAATTAGGGCTACCCGCGTCCCGTTCAGCTCTTGACCGGAAAGGGCCCGCTCCCGACCCGCAGACCACAAAATTCTTCCCCTCCCGAGAGCCAGCGGCCCGAGCTGCGTCCACAGCCGTGGCGGCGAAGGCCCCCCTCCGAGGGCCCACCTGCCACCGCCGCCTCGCCTCGCCGCTCCTCGGCTCCTCGCTCGGGGCGCCTCGACGGGCGGCGCCCCGGCACTCGGCCTCGCCAGGATGGTGGACGGCAGCGTCCCGTCGCCCTCCGCCTCGGGCCGGCGGCCGTCGGGGGGCAGCAGGCTGAGCTCGAAGTAGGCGGCGATGGGCCCCTCGATCACCGAGTCCCTGCTCTGCCGCACCAGCAGCGCGATGCTCTCGGCGCGGACGGGCCTCAGCAGGGAGGCGAACTGGAGGGAGCCTCCGAGCCGGAAGGCGAGGTCCTGGGAGAGGTCCTTCCTCTCCCACCCGCCCTTGACGGAGTTGACGACCTCCGAGAAGGGGACCCAGTCGCCCACCCTCACCTGCACGCGGTCGAAGGCGCCCCACATTGCCTCCGCGAGCTCGGGAATGTCGTCCAAGTCCGGCATGCAGAGCTTGAGGCCCATCTCCTCAATTGGAAGTAACGCCGCCGGCGCCGCCCTGGTCAGCCTGCTGCCGCCCTTCACCTATAGAGGCCTCCCAAATGGGGTCCGAGTAGAGATAGTGTCGGAGGATCGCGCCGCATCGCCGATCCATCGCGGATTCCTTGGTGATGCACACGGGACGTCGGCGATGCATCGGCAACGTCGGCGTGAAGAAAATCGGGTTTGACAGCGAGCCGCAATCGCCGATGCATTGGCGATGCGTGCCCCCGTGGTGCTACAACCTCGTGGGGACCAGAGAGGCCCCAGGACACGAATCCGATATCTCAAGGCCCTTGAAATCCTGATAGCGCATCCTCCATCCGCCGCCGTGCCTCTGGGCACGGAATGGGCGTGTCATCAGGTCCCTTGCCGAATCCCCTTGGCGGCGCGCACAAGGGGGTGGAGGGAGGGGGGAGGGCTTCTTAGAAGGAGGCTGCTTCTTAGAAGGCGCCGGCCTTACATCCATAGATGAGGCCCGCGCCTTCTACGAAGCAGGGGTGCTTCTGAGAAGCCCTCCCCCCTCCCTCCATCCCCTGAGCCTCAGTCCTGAGCCCTGAGGAGTCTCGGGTCGGGCGAAAGGGGGGGCTCACGTAGCTGATTTTCCCGGCGCCTCCCGGCGCCGGAGGCGGCTAGGTATCGAGGAATGGGCCCCTCGGTGGGGCCGAAACCAGCTGCACATGCAGCAGATGTCGTACCCCCCCTTTCCCAATCCACACCTTTCGTTCGGCCCGAGCGTCTTACAGAAGGGCCCCTAGAGCCCACACCGCCAGATCTCACGGGGCCTGGCGCGGTGGCCTCGGGCCCCGGCCTCGGCGCGCCCCGTCGCGCGGCTGCTTCTCGGGCCCCGCGGCCTCGCCGTGAGGCTGCGCTCCTTCCCTGCCCCTCCTCCTTGTGAATCCAAGCTTCGCGCGGTCCATTTCCCCGAGTTTGTCGGTTTCGTGCGTGTGTGTTCTTTGTGGTTGCTCGATGGCCTGGGATGGTCCTCGATGGTTCTCGGCGAGAAAAAATGCACACGGACGAGCGATGCGAAGACCTGGGGCACGGCCCGGGCCGCCTGCGGCCCCTCGTCGGGGGCGAGCAATCTCGGCTCGGCCACCCGTCGGCACGCTCGCGGCGAGGCGCAGCTGCTGGAGAGCAGCCCGAACTCCTACTTTTAGGTCGGGCCTGTCCCCCCACAGGCGGATTCTGTGAAGGAAAACAAACAAAATGCCTAAAACATACCCCTTCAAATGGTCAAACAGAGCCCAAAATCGTCGCCAGACTGTCTTTTGATATGTTTGAATATTCCTCCTGTAGAGGGACACGCCCGACTTAATCCTACTTCCCATGTAAGACGTACAGTGGAGGCCAGTCCACAAGATACCTTCCACAAGAAACCCAACCCTGAGACCTCAGGACGTCCATTTCTTTTTGGTGTGGGACGGTCACGCGTTCCATGGCAGAAATATCGAGACCGAAGAGACCCAGGGTACCCTGGAGGCAAGCAGGGTGCTTCTTGGCATGGGCCCCCACTGTAAGACGAAGCCAGGGCGAGGATAAAAATCGGGTGGGGATAAAGCGAGAATCTCGGAGATCTGGCGGCTCCGGAGGATGTCTCGGGCGCCGCGGCCTCCTCAAAGCATTCCAGGACCGCTCTGGAAGCGTGCCAGAAGGCTCTGGAACGGACTTTTCCTCGTCCCAGCCCCGTGGGCCCCGTCCGACCTCTTCCGACACAATCTCTCGTGGCTCGCAGTCCAGAACGGGCCCAGGCATCGCCGGGGCTGGGAAGACGACGCCAAGCCAAATCACAGGAATCTGGATTCATGTCTTACACTATGTGTATTTCTGTCTCGGATTACCAGACCCCCAAGCACATCCCAGGCCGGACCTCCCGGAGATCGTCCCCAAAGGGGGTCGATGAAAGTCGACAGCGGCGCTCTCAACCGATGCCGCGCGATCCTCCGACCACATCCACTCTGACCCATCCGGGAAGCCTAGAATCGGCGGCAAGCGAGGGGTGAAGTGAGCAGGAGAAGGCCTTCTCAGAAGGCAGCGGAACTTCTCAGAAGCCCTCGCGCCTTCTGAAAGGATTTCTGCGTCTTCTAGGAAGGCTTAAGAAAACTTCTTAGTAGAAGGCCGGGGAACTTCCGAGCCTTCTGGGAAGTCGTTTTCCTTCTCGCTTCCCTCAAGCCCCTGCAAACGGGGTGTTAGTAAACGGGGTGGTAGCCAAGGGGCCTCTGAGAGCGAGTACAGGGTGACAGGGCATCTACCTCGCACTAGTGCGTGATAAATCGGGGCGTCACAAGCATCGACACATCATCATAACTGTGGGCAGGGAGGATTACCTTGCACTTATGCACGGCGAATCCATTCTTCGAGGGCCCAATTGAAAACGCACCCTCAGCTACCACCCTGTTTACAAGCACCCCGTTCGCAGGGGCTTGGCCCCCCCCCGGGCTCGCCGCCGATAGAACCTGACCTGACTCATGGCCCAGGAGCGCAAGGCCACCCGGGGCCTCCCCCGGCGCGCCGGGCTCGCGCCCGCAGGGCCCCGCCCGCCGCCTCTGGGGACACGACAGCGCACCGCTACACCGCTCCTCCGCGGACCTCTCCGGGAGCACGTTCTGGCCAGAACCAGAATTCAGTCGGGCCTGTCCCCCTCTACAGGGGGATCTTCGACGAACAATTTAAAAGTACCCCCAAAATAATCAAAAAATACTCCAAGAATAGTCTGGGGATTATTTTTTGAGTATTGTTTGACCTTTCTGGGGTATTATTTTTCGTCGAAAATCCCCCTGTAGGGGGACACGCCCGACATAAAACCAGACTGCCGAGGCGCATCCAGCCGTGGCGACGACAGGCCTCCCACAGCGGAGGCCCGAGGAGGCGACAACGCAGCGAGGGTGCAGGGAATGGTATCGGTGTACCTCTTCCCCTGACCTTCCAGAGGGTTATTTTTTAGCACTGGAGACCTAAAAACCTAAAAAGCTGAGCGAAACAGCCTAAAACCAAGACGTATAATAGCTTTGGGATAGGTTTTTAAGTCGGGTGCTATTTTTCAGCCCTCATGGAAGGTCAGGGTCCTCCTCCTCCGAGCCTCGCCCCGGGAACGCCCACGCAGCCGCCACGAGGCGGCAGCCGGCGGCGCAGGCCGCCACGCAGACGGCGGCGACCCGGCCGGCGCGGCCCCAGGGCCGCGCCGGCGCCATCGCCGCCGAGGCCCCAGCCCCGCGCTGGCGGCCGCGCAACTCTCGGGCGGGCGCCGCCGGCTGCGGTCGAGAGAGATGCCGCCGACGGCGGTGGCCGCCGCGGCCGGGGCCGCGGGCGGGTGAACGAGGGAGCCGGGCAGGGCGACGAGAGCTCGACGTGTCCACTGCCCCTGGCCAGGCCCACCCCTGGGCCCAGGACCGGCGAGGACGCCTTCGTTGCCTGGCTTGGGGCTGGTGTGCGGAGCGGAGCGGAGCGCGCTGAGTCCGCTGGCCGGCCGGCGGGCCACTTAGAAGCAGCGCGGGTGGGCCGGAGCCCGCTTACTGAATGTGGTGGAGGAAGTCGTCTTCCCAACTGTCCCAAAGTATCTGATCACATGCATCGTCCAGCCAATGTGGGCCTGGCGTGGGCCTGGCCAAGGGCAGCGGAGATGTACGCACAGGTCCCGTCGCCCGATCACGCGCCCTCCACGGCCCTGGGGCCTGAGACGGCTGCGCGCAACTGGCAGCGCAGGGCGGCAGGGAGGCAGCGAGGGGAGGGGCGGCGGGGGCCGAAGCGGCGCGGGCTGCGAACGGCGGGCGTCTGGTGGCGCCCCACTGCCTCAGCTGATGCTGGAAACGCTGCGGATGCGGTTTTCCCGTGCTCAAGATCGACGCGTTTCCCCCGTTTTGGGGGTCCGTTGTTGCTCCATTCTGAGATTCTCGTTCGCGCCGTGTTCGTGTCGGTTCCGTGTGGTGCTGCCGTTGTTGTGCCTTTTCTTGGGGTGCCGTTTGTTTTCTATTCCGCTTGCCAGAGCCCAGGGAAAAACAAAAACAGCTAACTCGTTTTATGTTCAAACAAGTCCACGACTCATCCCCGAGACTTCCGATGCAAAAAAATGTTTCCTGAACAAGAAGACCGGTGCACTCTTAGCCTCGATTCCCAGACACACTCGCGTCGTAAAAGATTCATGCGGACCATTTTTCCAAATTCATCAAACCTGCCACCGTGTTCACGAGCTGGCCCAAACCCGTCCGACTGGAAAACAGCTGGGTGAGTATTTTCTCGAAATAGTTAGTAGCCGATTCCCCGTGCAATTACAAGAGGTGCGAAATGGAAGAGAGCCTTCAAAAGGGTAGGCACTGGGAGACTTCAGCGAAGTTGAACGGACAATGAAATTGATATCCCACTCGGTCTCTCAAACGGGTGCCCATGTGCAAATGTAACCCGCACTAGTATCAGGGTCGTTGTTTTCCGGATACAGCGACGTGTCTCATCAACACTGCCATCGCGTTCACGAGCTGGCCCACATGTTCGAGAGCAAAACAGCTGGATTAATATACACTCGAGGTAAATAATAGCCGACTCCCAAACCGTCCCGAGGATGTGGGCTTACGAATTTATGGCACAATTAATTGCACGTCGGTACACGTACGTCCTGCACAATAGGGTTGCCAGTCGTTGGGACAATTTGACACGGAATGTTTGGGCTTTTGACGTCATCCATTCCCCTTCTAGCCCAACATGTCGTCGTTGCGCACATGCACAAACACCCCGTCCATGACGCGCATGTTGGCCACATAGATTCACGCCCATTGGGTCACAACTTCCGAGCATCAGCAGGGCACGCGTCAGCCACGGGGCCCCAACAGAGCACAGCCCACTATTCTTCACCCCGACACGGCTACCATGCGACAAACCAAGGAACCCTAGAGTGTTCCACAGGAGCCTCCACAGTGCATCCTCGGCGACGCACGGCATCCGCTAGCGATGGACGAAGGCAAACCAATCGCATCACGCCCGTCGCTGGGCTTCACAACGCCCCACGGTTCAGCCCGCGAGCGAAGCGCATGGGCCCGATGCCGCGCGACGTCCCAGAGCGGGCACGCCCTGGCCGCCATGGCCGCCGCAAGCATGCGGGTCCAACAATCTGAACATAGATACCTCATTGAAGGGGCCCCAGGACACACACATAAATACACACAAATGAAAATATTTCCCATATTTTCCTATATTTTCTGGGATTTTGTCTTTCCCCCCTCACTTCCCATATTTTCCCATATGTTCTGGGGAATCGACGATTAATTGTGTCTGTGTGTTCTTTCCTTCCTGACTCATGTCCTTCATGTTCGCGTGGTAAAAGTTGGAAGCTAATACGTACCACAGTCGCGACCGCATGCCGCGCCCGCCCGCCGCCCGCCCCGCTTCGACGCCGCCGTCGACGAGGTCAGCCAGATGCTGGGTCGCTTCGTTCAAGAGGAGCTCGGGGCGACGGGCAGCGCGATGGCCGAGGGGTCGATGAGGCCGCGCAAAAGGGCCTCGAGACGGCGCACGCAAAACCTCGCGCGCGCCGCCGTGTAGTCTGGCAGCCCGTCGACTCCACTCCCTCGCCGATCTTGGCCGAGCCGTTGCGCCGAAGAACCGATGTGTCCCAAGTCGGGCGTGTCCCCCTACAGGGGGATTTTCGACGAAAACAAAAAATACCCCCAAAATAAACAAACAATAATCCAAAAATAATATGGTGACTATTTTTGGGGTATTTTTTGACCTTTGGGGGGCATTTTGGGGTTCTCGTTTATTTCTCGTCGAAATCCCCGTGTAGGGGGACAGGCCCGACTTCAGATTTGTCTGCTCGCCAGCGGCCGCGCGCCTTGATCTCGGCTCGGGGTCGGCATTCCATGACGACGTCGACGGAGGCACCTGAGCGCCTTGCCAGATAGGGCACAGTCTGGAGCCCCAGGCGTTCGCAAACCAAGCGACACCTCCTCGCGCGCGCGGCGCAGGTGAAACTGAAGACCTCGCCCCGCCAGGATGCGGAGCAGATCCACGAGGCAGATGAAACGGGGGCGGGCGCGAGAAGGTCCTCCTTGAACTGCTCCAGTGGCTCCGACGGCCCCGCGAACGCCACCGGCGCGAACAGCGCCCGCGCGGCCACGTTCCAGTAGTTGCCCCGGCGCAGGCCCCCGCGCGACGGCGGCCCGGATGCCCCGGGCCCGGGGGCGGCGAGAGCGAGGCGAATCCCCGCCCCCACCGGGTCAAGTCGCGGCGGCACCCCGGCAGGCGAAGCCCACCGTAGCGACCAAACTCGGGGACGAAGTGCCCCAGTCCAGTCACGAGCTTCGTAGCCTCGCTGACGTTCTCGCCCTGGTCGAGCAGCTCTCGATCAGAAGCCGCGCCGCTGGCGCGCCCACCCCAGCGGCAGCGTCGCGGGGCTCGCCTCGGAAGCGGGCCTTGTCCCGCCATTCCTTCACCGGGCCGCGGCGCTGACCGATCGGCCTGGACCTGCGCGGCGCGTTGGGCTCGAGGGGCAGCCGAGCTCGAGCCCGCGCAGTCCCGGCCGGGCTCGACGGGCTGCCGAGCTCCCCTGGGACTCGGTGGCCGCGTGGCCCGCGTCCGCCTCGCAGGCCACACCTTCGCCGTCGCCGTCTCCGACGTCGGAACGCCCCCCGTGGTCTCGCCCGAGGCGCCGCGCTCGAGCTCGTCCTCCAACCAAACCATCGCCGTCTCGCGGGCGGAGTCTCTCATCCTCGCGTAGGTCAGCGAGCGCAACTCCAGCAGGCGCGCCGCGGCCGACGTTGGCCGAGCCGCTTATTCCGGCTGGCTGCCGCGGGAATCTGGTCGTCACCGCGAGCAGGAGCCGCTCCGTCACCGAGGGAGGCGATGTCACGACCTTCGGGCTCCATCAGCTCCTGGTACTTGACGACTTCGCCGTCCCACGAGACCACTGAGTCGAACGGTTCCTCCTGGCGGCGACACGTCCGAACGAAAGTTTCGGCCTCCGCCGTCTTGATGTGATCCACAGCTCCAATAGACACAAATAACAGGATTTCCCAGATCTTCCCATATTTTCCGGGCTGTTGTCTTCCCCCCCCCCACAACTTCCCGGGTTATCCGTGGGGGGGAGGGGGGGGTACGTACGACCACGACGGGATCTGCTATTGGGGGCTCCAATCGCTCTCTTTCTCAACATTATCCTCTCCTCTCCTCCTCCTCCTCCTCCTCCTCCTCCCCTCCTCCTCCTCCTCCTCCTCCTCCTCCTCCTCCCTCCTCCTCCTCCTCCTCCTCCTCCTCCTCCTCCTCCTCCTCCTTCTCCCCCTCCTCCTCCTCCCCCTCCTCCCTCCTCCTCCTCCTCCTCCTCCTCCTCCTCCTCCTCCTCCTCTTCCTCTTCCTCCTCCTCCTTTTCTCTCCTCCTCCTCCTCCTCCTCCTCCTCCCTCCTCCTCCTCCTCCTCCTCCTCCTCCTCCTCCTCCTCCTCCCTTCTCCCTCCTGTCGTTCCTCCTCCTCCTCGTCCTCCTCTTCCACTCCTTTCTTCCTCCTCCTCCTCCTCCTCATCTCCCCTCTCCTCTTCGTTTTCCTCCGCTGCCTGCTTCTCCCCGTGATATCCTGGGAACTTGAAAGCTTAATTTCTTAAAGATGTTTAGAAAGTATCAGGCGTTTGTTTTTTGTTTAAACATGTTTTAAATGTGTTTAAATGTTCTGGGGGTCCAGGAGTTCTCTGCAATCCTGGTGGCTTGGCCAGCGGCGCCTGGGGCCCTGGAAACATTAGCTCTGTCTGCGGTGCCTGGGGCCTCGGAAGTTTGTATGTTTCAGTTCTTTATTCTCTTGCACCGGGTGTCTAGAGCTCCGACCACTTTATTTCGGCGTCGTCGCCCCCCCCCCCCCCTCCCCAGCTACCCAGTGCTGGTGCTGGTGCTGGTGCTGGTGCTGGTGCCGCTGCTGGTGCTGCTGGTGCTGGTGCTGGTGCTGGCGCTGGTGCTGATGCCGCTGCTGGTCCGCCCCGACCACTTTATTTCGGCGTCGTCGCCCCCCCCCCCCGGATGCCCAGCGCCCTTCGTCGTCGCACCGCCCCCTCCGCCCCGACCGCTTTATTTCGGCGTCGTCGCCCCCCCCTCCCTCCCCAGCTGCCCAGTGCCCTTCGGCGTCGCGCAGCCCTCCGCCCCGACCACTTTATTTCGGCGTCGTCCGCCCCCCCCCCCCCCTCCCCAGCTGCCCAGTGCCCTTCGCGTCGCACCGCCGCCCCCGCCCCGACCACTTTATTTCGGCGTCCGTCGCCCCCCCCCCCCCATCTGCCCAGTGCCCTTCGGCATCGCCCGCTCCCCTTTTCCCCGGGGCCCCGACCACTTTATTTCGGCGTCGTCGCCCCCCCCCCCCGGATGCCCAGTGCCCTTCGTCGTCGCACCGCCCCCTCCGCCCCGACCACTTTATTTCGGCGTCGTCGCCCCCCCCTCCCTCCCCAGCTGCCCAGCGCCCTTCGGCGTCGCACCGCCCCCTCCGCTCCGACCACTTTATTTCGGCGTCGTCGCCCCCCCCCTCCCCAGCTGCCCAGTGCCCTTCGGCGTCGCACCGCCCCCTCCGCCCCGACCACTTTATTTCGGCGTCGTCGCCCCCCCCCCTCTCCCCAGCGGCCCAGTGCCCTTCGGCGTCGCACCGCCCCCTCTCCGCCCGACACTTTATTCCGGCGCGTCGCCCCCCCCCCCCCCCCGCTGCCCAGCGCCTTCGGCGCTCGGCGGTCGCACCGCCCCCCTCCGCCCTGACCACTTTATTTCGGCGTCGCACCGCCCCTGCCGTCCCGCCCCCCCGACCCCCCCTCCCCAGCCGCCCAGTGCCTTCTGCACTCCGCCACCCTCCGCCCCG